TGTGCGTCAGATGGGACTTGGTTTCTGGTTTGATGATGAATATCTTTGTTTCAGACTGATGAATTTTAAAGTCTTGTCTTCTGTCTTTCTGCTGATGGGAATCGTTTTGATTGTTCGGATTAATGCAGTCAGGGCTCTATTATTATGAGATGCGCTACTTAGGCAGCAAATATTATAATATGGTTTAGTAAGATAACTAGCAGATTGATACACATTTTAAATATGTATTTTATTTTAAATAAAATTACACACATCTATCTATCTATCTATCTATCTATGTTAATTTATTTTTGTATGTTATATAATATAATGCACATACTGTATAATACATATAAAGCAGTTTTTACTTTGCAGTCATTTCTGATATATGTGTGGTCAGTTTTGAGCTTCAGTTTTGACTAGATTGAGATTTTTTATAAGTACTTTTAATTCAGTCAGTAAATAACAGTACATTTTAATATAAATTTTAAATGTGATGAAAAACTACAGTAAACAAATCCGTAAATGAATGATTGTTTTTAATCATTTTACAGCCCTTGCTTTTATTTAAAAACAAAAGTGTTTGATGCAAAAAAAACATGATGTAAATCTAAAAGATGTTGTGGAAAAAGGTTGATGTTAAAATGTGTGCAAATTAGAGACACAAGAATATTGATGGGGATAAAATGTTTCTCACAGGGCAAGTGTTGTTTTTATACTGTTCTACTGTATAAAGTATATTTAAGTTTTAGTCATTTTATGTTTTGTGCTTTTATTAGTATTTTAAAATATTTATTTTTAGTTTTTTTTTTAATTTCAATTAGTTGCTATGGCAACATTAAATTTAAGTAAAAAAATTTTTACGTTTTAAATACAATATTTATATTTTATCTCATATAACTTAAAAATGATTTGTAAGTTTTTGTTTTAGTTAAGAAATGACTCATTGAAGAAAAAATGTTATAATGTTATGTTATAATGGTGTTTGGTTTAGGTTTGCGGTGTTTCAGTCAGTGTTTGTTCTGTGGTTGTTTTGTGTGTTTGCGGTTCAGATGATCATGTTTCCAGCATCTGTTTGACAGATTATGAGATGCTGATGTGTCTTTTCTCTGCTGCTGTAAATCTTCAGGGTAAATAGCAGTAAAGCCTTCGCTGATCAAACGCTGAGACGGGATTTGTGTTCATGAGCGTTACGCTAGATATTTAGATATTCAGTGTTCATTGCTCTTCTATGAGTCACTATGAGTTCAAACGGCTTCCCCAAACTTTCTTAAAAGTATTCAAAACGACAGATTATCATGTGGGGCAAACACTTTTTCACAGCTCTGTATTTCGAGAGACTGAACATTGAAGTGAGACACCAGAAAGAGTAGATCATAGATCCCTGAAGATCTGTGAAGGCCGTGGGTTCCTGCTGAAGGTTCTGGGTTCAGATGTTCCAGTGGTTGGTTCTGGTTCTGGTTCTGATGTCGGTCAGGTGTGTTTGTGTAACTGAAGTCGTCTACTCTCACTACACAACGCTTTGAACTGCAGAAACATGACACTTCTGAAAGGAACACACTTGTCTTGAAGTTCTCGTAGATGTTGTTAGTTCTCAGACAGTTTAGTTTGTGAATGTTTTAATCTCATTATAAAACAGATTGTCTTCAAGTCCTCCTGCGAAGTTGCTTTATGGGCTTGAATTTTAATAATAATTATAATAGTAACTATAATCAGAACTGTAACAAAAACTATAACGATAACTATATTAGTGTCCACACCAGCAGATGATAATATTCTGTTTATTATAAGCGCGCTGAGGTTTTTTTGTCTGTCGCTTTAAACGCTCAAGTTTATTAAAGCGGGATGGATTCTGATTGGGTGCCAGTGCTTTTATCGTTCATCAGCTGGAAAAAAACGCTCAGAAAGGGATTCTAACGATATCGTTCCTCTGTTGTTTTCGTTATAGTTCTGGTGTGGATTTCACTATTCTCATAGTTAGAGCGATTATTAGAACTGTATGGTTATATATCGTTATAGTTATCGGTATAGTTAACGTTATAGTTGTGGTGTGGATTTCACTATTCTCATAGATAGAGCGATTATTAGAACTGTATGGTTATATATAGTTATAGTTATCAGTATAGTTAACGTTATAGTTGTGGTGTGGACTTCGCTATTCTCATAGTTAGAGCGATTATTAGAACTGTATGGTTATATATCGTTATAGTTATCGGTATAGTTAACGTTATAGTTGTGGTGTGGACTTCGCTATTCTCATAGTTAGAGCGATTATTAGAACTGTATGGTTATATATCGTTATAGTTATCGGTATAGTTAACGTTATAGTTGTGGTGTGGACTTCGCTATTCTCATAGTTAGAGCGATTATTAGAACTGTATGGTTATATATCGTTATAGTTATCAGTATAGTTAACGTTATAGTTGTGGTGTGGACTTCGCTATTCTCATAGTTAAAGCGATTATTAGAACTGTATGGTTATATATATCGTTATAGTCATCGGTATAGTTAACGTTATAGTTGTGGTGTGGATTTCGCTATTCTCATAGTTAGAGCGATTATTAGAACTGTATGGTTATATATCGTTATAGTTATCGGTATAGTTAACGTTATAGTTGTGGTGTGGACTTCGCTATTCTCATAGAGCGATTATTAGAACTGTATGGTTATATATCATTATAGTTATCAGTATAGTTAACGTTATAGTTGTG